TGTTCAGTCTGGAGAAAAGGAGGCTCAGGGGAACACCTTGGGGACCTCACCAACCTCTTCAAACMCTTGAAGAGAGTTTGTAGTGATGTGGGGGTTGGTCTCTTCTCYCATATAAMGAGTGACAGAAGAGRAGGAAATGGCTTCAAGTTGTGCCAGGAGAGGTACAGACTGGATATCAGGAAAAAATCTGTAACTGAAAGGATTATCAAGCAGTTTGCCCAGRGAAGTGGTAGAGTCACTATCCCTGAAGGAATTAAAAGACCCGTGGATGTGGGGTTTAGAGACATGGTTTTGTGGTAGACTTGTCMGTGTTAGGGTAACTAGGAYTCAATGTATTTAAGYGTCTTTTCCAAACRAAAAGATTCCATGATTCTATATCATAAAAAGTTTATTTTCCAGATACTTCAGTGTTTCAGAATTTTTTTTTTTTCCCTTGAACACATTTAAGGCTGTATATTTTATGTTCTGTGGAGGTTGCAGGTAACAAGATGAGGGCAGTGAGATAGGAGTTTTTCCTGGGATCAATACAAGGAACTCCGATAAAACAAAATGGAAAGTAAACCCAGCATTCTTCTTGGTCAAGTGTTCGATGAGATAAATCAATAAAACAAACCCMAGTGCTTTCATAAATATAAAACAGAAGAGAATGGGTAGTTTTAAATTAGGATTTCRAAATGTCTCAGAAAATTAAAGATTCTTTTCTTTGTAAGTGAAGCTGGATAGACTGTATTGTCACAGAGAATGCACACAAGACAAAATACAGACCTGCAAATTCAGGCAAGCCTTCTGTAATTGCTGAGCAGTAACTGCCATCTGAAAATTGCCAACATCAATATTTTCTGTTGTTCCTTTCTTAGTGTTCATTCAAAAAATTCAAGGATTCAAGTTTGAGAAGTGGAGTCCTGTCCCAAGATCTTCAAGAGTTTATGAACACTGTCTAAGTAAACAAGGTAAAGGAAGAAAACTTTTCTTGAATTTTAGCAGAAAAACTGCTATTCCTGTTATCTCTGGCATTTGAAAATGCTTCACTGCTTTAACCAGAAATGGTGAAGCACTGACCAAACAAGAAGGCGCTGAGTGAACAGGTTTGTAAAGCAGTGATTATCCCTGAATTTGAGAAATGTCACAGTTAAAAAAAAAAAAAAAAAAAAAAAAAAAAAAAAAAAAAAAAAAAAAAAAACCCCAAAAAAACCCCTAAATTAAAACTTCTCTGGCCACAATTTGCACAACTGAAATAATAGGTCTTGCATGTAGTACCATTCTGAGAGACAGAGTAAGAATTCAGAAAGGAAGGATGAACTTGAAGACACACAAGTCGTGAAGCTACTAGGAAGAGTGAAGATAGGGAAACCGAAGTGAAATGGGACATTTAAGGATAGACAAGGAAMGAAGATAAAAGACAAAGAACTTTGACAAATGATGGTGTGAAAGGAAATGTTATTCCTTCTTGCCAATATGGAGAATCATAGCTCATATCTCCTACAATTTCTGACAACTGACATCTGAAGCAAATGCATGACATGTTTCATAAGCCATATTGGGTCAAATTTGCAGGGTCCTGATCAAAATCTTTGGAAAGAGGACTTATTTATTTTTCTTCTGAGTTCCAAGAGGCTGCTGTTTGGACTAAAAAATCTATCAGAATATTCTTCCAAATGCAGAATTTAAAATATCACCAAATTAAGCATTATGATATTTCAGATTAATCTCAGCAACTAGAACCTCTCAAGAGAAGTGGGTGCAAGATTTTTTGTTGATAGTTGATATGTGGTTTTAATTATTTTCTTGGGAAAATTATAATCTTCAATTCCTATAAACTGAAAGTTTTCAAAGCTCTAGAGAGAAAGAATGATTCCATGATTTCAACGGAGCACCAACATACGTTGTGAAAATTGCTTCTCTATGACTGCACCGAAAATAACATGGAAATTGGCAGATTGCAGTCAACTAAATCTAATGAAACTTTTCTTTGATAACTAAATGGAAATGAGAGTCAGTTTCCTAAATTTTTCAAATTCAAGAGAAGAAAAAAATTTAATTCCTCTTGATTTTTTTATTGCAGCCCCCTAGAGAGGTAGATTTTATTGAAAATCTTAAGGTAGTTGCAGTATTTATAATGGTACCCAACAATTATAATATAGCTAGCAGAAAATAAAAGGCTACTAAGAAATGMAAAGGAAATAATATTTATTTAATTTAGGTGAATAGATGGGATTAATAAATTATTCCAGCTCCAGCTATCTGGAGAAAAAATTATCAACCACTGTTTTACTGCAATTATAAACTTGTTTTAATAGGTGAACAACAGCCCTCCTTCAAGAAATACATGGCTGAAAGAAAAAAAAAATAAATACTGACTAAGAACTGCATGTATTGAATTGGCATATTGATTGCTATTATTTGAAATTCAAGTTTATCTTGATCATAAAGAGATTTTGTCAGGTGGTTTTCCCAAAGGATTCTTAAGTGAATTCTTTCCATTTGTTAATATCTCTTGCAGCTATAACCAGTTTGGCCCAGATTTTGTTTAGGTCTTCAGATTCTGCCAAATTGGTAGAATTATAATATTATTGCATTAATTATTATCTATAAGTGTAGCAGACAAAGCTTCCAAATTCAGGAAGGAGACATCTTGAAACTGGACACAGAATATGGACTGAATAACAGAATGRTATTTTCTTAGTAAATTTTAGCAACCATGCTTTGTAGAAATTACTTCAATTATTTCAGCTTGTCCATTACTCTTGCTGGTGGAGGTGCTGACAAAACTTACAACTAAACACAATAAAAGTACCTCAAGAAAAAAGAAGTTATCCTATATAACAACTTTTCATTATTCTAAAACATCTGTGTAGTGTCTAAGTAGAACAAAACGACAGTTTTAAACACCCTGTTTAAAGGTCTATGAATCATCACTGACATACACTTGATGTTAGGATAACATAGCAGGACTCATGCTTGTGTGCACAGAATTTCTGTCCTGGAGTATTTAARGCAAGCCATTATTCAATAAAATACCTGTCACTTGAAGAGTAGTTTTGAAAACATAGTGTTGAATAGAAGTAATTTTGCAATAGATTTTTAGATGTTAGACAGAATTAAGTACCCAGAGGCAAACTCAAACTGTAGTGCCACATACACACAGAACTTTTTTCCCTGAAGTAATGAAAGGAAAGCACATTGCAGTACACAACATGACCTTTGGGTATCATACTTGTCAAAAGTTATAAAAATCCAAYGGCTGAAATTCTCATTGTAAGGATTACTTGAAACAAGCTTTATTAAACCACCCCAGCTATTTAAAAGTGAATAAAATGAAATAAAATAAAATAAATAAATAAAAATCAAATATAATGTCCTAACCTCAGCGCTGGCAAGGTGCCATTTGTGATAAAAATGACCAACTGTTGTAATATAATAAACCAGGGTTAAATTTAATGTTTGTTTCACTTTTTTTTTCCAACTACAGTAACCTTCTGAGAAATGTCATACCTTACTATTTTCTTTAATAGGAAGGGTTAGAAAAAGAAAGAATCAAAGTCTTTTTTTTTTTTTTTCTATAACAAAACCTGAGGCTGTAATACAATAGATGCCAGATATGGCTTATGGTAGATATGTTCTTCTAATACTTTTTAAAGGAAATGTATGCACTATTTTCAAAAATGACTGAACAAAGAAAGAAGTTTGTGATCCAAAAAGAGTGGTGCTTGGATGTTAATCATCCCCTATGATCAGCACAACAGCTATTGCCAGCCATGCAGAAATACATAGGAAAAAGTAAACACTCGACAGAAAAAAAAATCCTGGAGAAAGCAGATCATTAAGAACAGGTAGAAGCAAAATGCACAAGCTCTTTTACTTCAAGCACAAGCTTAATAAAACAACTCTAAAAAAAAAAAATGCAAAATTGACAGACCTGTGGAGGAACCTGCCTCCTTTTTTGGTCAGGGGATGTGACATACACAGCTTGTGCATATGCGTAACTTTTGAACCGCGGTTTAGGAGAAGGCGAAGGTCCCTGGGGTACACTGACTGTGATCTACAAATAAATTAGAATGTACATATGGGTAGGAGCACGGATTGTAGAAATAAAGTACTGATTTTAAGAGTAACTGTAGAAAAAGAAGGAGGAAGGTCATCACCAGTTAGATTTTTTTCAAGGTTGGTGTTGGTATTCAGCAGACAAAATGGGATGGTATTAAGGAAACCTCTCATTTAATCTGACACTCTTAYGAAAAGCAACACACTGTCAGGACTCAACACCAGCAGAATACCAATGTAAAGTCAAGCTTCCWTATAATTTACAAGCATTGGCTCAAAAAGCAAGTGGTCTTGTGTCACATCTAGAATAAACAGAGCCCATACTTACCTGCTCAGTACTCTAAAAGAGAGTGAGCATCCCAAACRCAACACACAGATTAAATTCAGGCAAGTACACCAGACCTAAAATGCACTAAGCACTTCAGCAGAGACTCTCTGATGATTTCAGTAAAAACAAACCCCTGACATCGCAATCATAAACTAGTTCCAAATATTACATGAGTTTTTTGAGAGGACAACTGTAAACTGAGAAGAGTTAGTGTAAATAAAATGCTAAAACATTAAAAATGTATCATGACTACAGGCAAATGTCAACTGCTGTTCTCTAAAAAGGTAAAAATGTATTTGCCTGTTTTTAAATGTAAAGCCTCCCCCAATTTATTTATTTTTCCTTGAGGTGTCCTGCCACWATCAAAATGCAGASTGCTGCACAAGAGAAGTGCAAAGCACTTATTTGCTGAATAGTAGCTTTTCCAACAGTCTGGTAGAGATAAAAAACAGTGTGAAAGCACATGCAGACAAGTACTTTGACTTGCCTGAGGTGAAGAGTCTTTGCCCATTACGCCCACAGGCTTTTTGCCTTCCACTAGCCATTAATATCAAACTCATGGGGTTGGTAGGGAAACAACCACTTTAGAGCAGCAAGAGAAATGCAGAAAAGAAAAAACTCACTTCTTGTGAAAAATGCTGTTCATGTACTTCTATGTGCTCTTCTCTAGTGACCCTTGAGTGCCGTGGCAACATCTCCGCCTCCCTGATGGCTTCCATGSTGACTTTCTGGGGCAGCACTTGGAAGAGCGAAGTCACGTACATTAAGATGGACTTTTTATCTGGACAGGCAGTTGCAACATCTGAAAGGCAAATGAGMATGTGTCATTTCAGTTTCCACATTGGACATAAGCAATAGCCAATTAGTTTCATGGGAAGTTGATAGACTAATGAGCAATCTATTGTCCACATGAATTCTCTGGAGACTAATTAGAACCTTACAGTCAGTTCCAAAACTGCAGAACAAACTTGCATATCAATGAGAAGGAGSCAAAGTTTATAAAGGTAATGGTATCTCATTCGGCATGAACTTGCCATCTGTATTTCTTGMGCCAAAATGCAATTTGACACTGTGATCCCCATTAAGCAGAACTAGACACAGAAAAAGGTGTATTCGCTTGTGCTGCTTAAATACTGCAATTCCAAAAAGTAAGGACAACCTCATTTTCCAWTTCATGCCTTGTACATTCTCCTCACATCATTTAACCATTGAAAGCAATCATGACGTAGGGGGAAAACAAATAACCCCATTTTTCTAGTGAATGGGTTCATAAAAACCARCTATTGAAGTCAAACTATAATAAAGCTACATATCTTTTATATTGTACTGACTCTTRCATTCCTCATGAAATCAGTGGAACATCAAACAAACATGGTATTCACAAGCATTAAAATACGTAATGGAACAACTCTTCAGAAAAAAAAAAAAAAAAAAAAAAAAAAAAAAAAAAAAAAAAAAAAAAAAAAAAAAAAAAAAAAAAAAAGCCCTGTAAAATCTCTATGGTCTTTAGTAATCAGCACAAGAAACCTTGCGTGAACACAAAGATGATTCCAGCTTTTGCACACAGCCATGTTATACATCAGCAGGAAAACCAGTTTCTCTGACTCAACAATTCAAGTCAATAAGGATTTGTAAAATGWAAGGCATGTGGCAGCTCTTTGAAATAGTCACTTTGTTATTTGCCATTGACGCTTACTTCCTACACTCAGCCTGGCAAATCAAGATGTAAAAGGACAGTTGCACMAGAAATTTATCATTAATTCCATAAACATTTTAACATGAGTGCTGGCAGAAAGTCAAGAACTATGGGTTTTTACTGTCTGAGATCAATCTTGGCTTAGGTAAGATTTGAGTTCACAGGAAAAACAAAAATCAATAATTTTTGCAAGGTGGCATCTCATTCTCTCTTCTTAGAATGTGGAATGGACATACYGACATGAGGGAAGGTGCCTTACATTAAAAGCTTCACATATATTTCAAAATTAAGAAAAGAMATTCTATTAATAATTTTGGTTTGGCTTTCTCAACCATCTCTGTATCTTTGCTCAGTACTTTGTGAAAGAAAGATGAAGGATAGATACTAGATGAACAGACAYCAGTACCAGCTGTGACTTTTCTATTGTTTGTTCATTATTTTTCTTTCCAGAATAACCCGTTAACCAAATGGGCAAATACCTTCTTATTTATCTGCAAAAAATATCTCACACAATAAATAAAATGAGTACCTAGTAAATAACAGACATGCCAAAAATTGTTTACCCATTCTATCTGGCAAATAAAAATTAYAAATGCAGCTGTCAAAATCCACTGGAAAACAGGAAAGGATTTAATTATTTAATCTCAACAAATAACGAAACAACCATTGCTGCAAAGCCTGGAATATCAATCTGTCTCTCAAAAATCTTTATTACAGTCTTCTGAACTATCAGAGCAGGAATGAGTTCTGCTATACCGTGTCTTTGCCTTGATTTTATCTTCTTTTGAAACCTTCTCTAATGTATTATCTTTACCACCTGATGAGTCTGATGGCTATTTGAAGTCCCAGCATTTAGCTAATAAATAAATTGAAATTCAAGTATTTTCTTGCAAGGAAGTTCACTATTTCTTCGTACATATGTCTGCTTTCATTTGTGGGGCAAAAATATCTGTCAAGCCAATACACACCTCTTAAAAACCAATTGCAACTCCTGGAAAATACAGAATATTTTCAATCAAACTAAGTCAAGATATGTAGACTATGCCATTTTTCCAATACTAGTTTTCAGAAAATTATCCAGGATTTTTTTTTTTTTTTCTCCAGACCAATTTATCTTCTGAAACTCAACTCAAAGACAAGACGTTCAGAATATTTTCATCAGTTTTCTTGACAAAGACTATCCAGTGTAGGATTGAAAACAATAATACTAATGAAAAAAAAAAAAATTAGACTACAGTCAAAGCAGAGTTTAAAATGGGAAGCATTTTAAGGTTAGCAGAAATTACATTATTAACATGTTTATCAATAAAGAATCCAAAAGGCTTTGGAAAGATCTGGAAACCAGATCTTAKCTTTAATAAGACTCAGTTACACAAAAGTGTTCTAAAAGTTTCATACATGCGTATTCCAGTTATTGAGAGGAAACCTTTTCCATACAAAACTTTGTGCTGACAGATTAGTATTTTCCAAAAGAAAACAGTGACTCAAACTGAAATGTACCACATGAACCATATTGTTCAGAGAATTACTTCTCGATTACTTTTGTGATCCATGACATTACTTATTAAGACACGTGGTTTTTAAGCATCCTTTATCATCAAAGAAACAAGGGAAGGTCCAGGGAAGGTCTCCAGTCAAATTCACAAAATACAAAGAAATAAAACAAAACACTTATTTTGATATACGTGCCAAAAAGGCTTTCTTTGTCCAAAGAGACACCATAAAAACTCAATTTTGACCATGAATTTTAATGTGCAAGATACTGTTTATCTAGAAAATAAGTTACTTGCTAACAAGTACCAAAAGGGCAGAAAGAATCTGAATTCACCCCAGAACATTAAAACCATGAAAAAAAAAAAAAAAAATAAACCAACCCAAATTCACCTCTAGTTAAGTGCAGTTGCCTTTTAAGGGTTATTACAGATTTAATTTGGGAAGCAATTTGCCTGATAGAAGTTCACTACAGCTTGATTTTTATTAGCAAATATTCTTTGTTTTCTGACGAACATAACTGGATCACAAAAATAAACCTGAAGTGTTCTCAAACTAATTATTTTCTAACAGTGMCAAAAGTAAGTAAATATGTCAAACTCTTCAAAAAGTGATCCACCTGCCTATTTTTACAAGCCTTGCAGTTCTCACGTGCTTTGATTATTGCATCTATGTGTTTGGTCAATGAACAAATCCCTGCCAGTATTCCAAGTTCTGGTGTAAAGAAGTTTTTTTAAGGCGTGAGTAAAAATGAGGAAAATAAAAAAAACTTAAATAAGTTCTATACCAAAAAATACAGTTCTAACAACACAAAATGCAGCACACAGTGGTACATTATGTATACAAAGTCACACACAGAGCACAAGTTATAAGTGTTTATGAAAATGTTCCATCCAATTTTCAAATGCATGGCTACTTATAACTGTTCCTTTYAAATAATATTCTGATTTCGCCAAGCTCTGACCAAATAACAGTTCAGACAYTATTTGTGCTGATTCCACTCACTTTTTCTATCAAACTAGTAGCAAATAATTTTGAAAAAGGAGAGCTTAAATGCCTGCTGCACTGCTAGAAAGATTATATTTCTGTACATAAATTGCTGATCYGGTTTCTTTAGATTGAGAGACAAATTCTGAAACACACTTCATCTTACATAGTACTGAGAAGCAAGATAAGACTTCAGCCCTACAAAATACAAGAAATCTTTTGTCCTCAGCAGAAGGAGGTAGGATTTTCACAGAAGCATGAAGTAGAAAACACAGAAAACTAACTTCTAAATCCTATACATCACCTAATACTGTTTGCTTCTATTACAATACACAAAATCCCAGTGTATTAATATTAGCTGCTGCTATCCTGAATGAGATTTTAAAAACTGTGCTAAATAAAAAAAAAAAAAAAAATTTCCCTCCCTTCCACAACAAATTTGAGACTGAAATTCAAAAGTTGATTTGAATTTTCAGAGATTACATTGTTATTTTTCCCCTGATAAATGAATGCTGTTGTTATTTCTTCAATCAAATTGGGGGTTTGGATATTTTTAGAGGCTTTAAAGTGATAATAATGCAACATTAATACTTATTACAATTTCTGAAAAACACCCTACTGATATTTCCAAATGCGTCTGTTTAGAAGGCAAAAGCTCTCAGATTGCTGAAATAAGACAAAAATCTGACACATAAATTATTACTTTTTTACAATGCAAACTCATTGTAAGAGGTATTTTCACATTCATATGGCCACTCCTAGTGTGGCACAAGCCTCAGCCACAGTATCCTAGACAAAGGTATAGTAGAAACATTTTTAAAAGCACAGCCACATCTCACATGTAACTTTTATTTATTTTACCTTTCAGCCTCAAGGACAAGGGTGAACTTTTCAAAGCATGTTCAAAAATCTGTGGCAATCTGTCTGACAGGGCTCACCAAAAYATTTTGAAAGAGCTTCCATAAAACCCATAAAATCACGTTTTGATTTTGATGAACCTAAATTTGCCATTGAAACTGTGTRAAAGTGCATGAGACTGTACTAGTAAAAATGAAACTGCTTAGTCTTAAATAGCAAGAGAAACAAGTAAAAAACAACTAATTTTTCATTCCCAAATAGATGCATTAGAAACCTAAGTAAAAAATATCTTCAACATTACCCCCAAACATAAGGGTAACGAG